CCCTCTGTCACTTCCTGGTTTTTCATCCGCCCCCCCCCAGGCACCCCCTCCCTCCGCCCAATAAGGACATAAACTTCCACCTCTTCCAACAGCTAGTTCCAGCAGAGAGCATATGGATCCCTCCCTTCTTTTCGCCCCCTTCCTCCGAGCTCTTACTTTCGCTCCCAGAGCCTTTCCCACCCTTTTTTTTCCCCCTTCTTTCGTTCTATCTCCCTTCACCTGCCGCGATCCCTCTCCCTCTCTGCTTTCTACCTCTATTTCCTCCAGTCCACCTTAACTGGAGCTCCGCCTCCGACCCCTGTCCAGCCCTCTGCTGCTGGCCAGCTCCACCCCCTGCACGCCACCGCCCTGCCCGCCCATTGGCCTGAACACCCGCCTATCCCATTTGGGACGCGCCTAGGGTTCATCCAGAGAGTGGGTGGAGCTTGGGGCTGGCCTGAGACCAGAAGGGGAGGGAGGCCGAAGACTGTCCGCAGTGGCCGGGGAACGGAGCAACCCCCCTCAGGGACTTCCTCTCCTTCGAGAGGGGCTTCTGCGGGCTCGGCACCTGCGGAGGGAAGGGCAGGAGATGTTACAGATAGGCTGCGTGGGGAAGGAGTGGGGTCCCGCCAGGGGCTTTAATCAGGTCAGAGCCCCAGGAGGGAAGGGGAGAAGGCCACTGGACGTTCAGCTGCGGCCCCTGGGCCCATCCCCCGCAGAGGGAGCGGGGGAGTTGAGGCGGCCGGCACTCTGCGTCCCTCCCCACGCGTGTCGGCGCCCCGCGGGGAGGGAACGGTGCCAGGGGCAAGGAGCCTCTGCGCTCTAGCCAGTGCCCGTTGCTGCCTTGGCATTTTCAGAGGGGAGGGACCGAGTCTGGGAAGGGGAAGAGGGGGGTGCGCTCCCTCCCGGGCTCCCGCCTGTTCTTTAGTGGAGGAACAGACCCCTACCGCGGAGGGACGTCTTGACTCCGACACCCTGGTGGCGATCGAAGCCTGGGTGTCTTAGGACGTCTGTTTGTGTATCTGGGAAGGACCAACGTTCTTATTTCAGTGCCCGGCCAACAGAGAAAGGTAGCCTCTGAGGGACGCTTCAACTGGGCCGGCGGTGCTACGTACCCCAAAAGGGCCCCTCCCACTGCTTTCAAACGGAATCAAATCCCGCTCTCTAGGGCCAGGTTCGGCTTCGCAGCAGCAGGCCAGGCCGAACCGGGTCGGACTTGTCCTTCCTTCCCAGCCCCCTCCGCAAAGGGCCTCCCTCCCTTTCCAGCAGGTGGCTCCGCAGGACACCAGCTCAACCTGTTGGACCACAATGGGCGGCGCCAGGGGGGCCCTGGCCCTCACCCGGGCTGACCCGGGATCCCCGAGCAGGGGGAGGGGCGGAGTCGGTCCTTCCCTCCCTCTTTCCCCTACTCCCCCTTACGTGACTCAGCCTAGAGGCTGCCGCTCTGCCCCTCAGCCAGGGGCGGAAAGTGTGAGGCGCCCCGGAGGGCCGAGGCCAAACCAAACAGCCCCCCATCCCAGACATTATCTCACTGGAGAATTAGGGGGCAATAGGGACTAGTGGCTAGCAGTAGGCATGGGGAGCTCTGGCTCGAGTAATCCGTTCCGGGTTTTCCTATCGTCCACCCCCCCCCCCCCCCCCGCCCTGGGTCCAGTCTGATCTTTGCTCCGGGTTTTCTTAGCTCCTGGTGTTTCCAGTCGGGAGGATTCCGAGCAAGAAGTGTCCGTACTGGGTTTTTTCCCTCCCTCGCTGTCAGGGTCTTGCTGACCAGGGAACGGGCTGAGCCCGGGGCAAGGCAGCAGCGCTCGATGCCTAAGTAAAATGGGGAGCGGGGGGGAATGTTGCTTTCACAAGAAGGGTACAAAGATCTAGGAAAAGGATTTGGGGGAGGGTAGAAAAGTGGCCCAGGACTCCAGAAAGGCAAGGCGAAGGTCTGGTCACTAGCTCCTTGGGAACCGAGACACACCTGCCGTCCCGCTGGAGTTGCGTCTGACTCGACACAACCGGGATCTTTTGCGGCTTGATTACCACTCTCCAGCAGTCCTGGAAATCTACTGTTAGCTCCTCAGTGGCTCTTTTCCAGGTTTTCCTTTTTCTTGTGGTACAAATAGTTCCCTTTCATGTTGGGGGGGGGCAACTTGAAATTCCTGCCTACTATCTAACTTTGGGTCCTATCTGCCAAACCGGAGACAGAAAAGACCTTAAAGCGCTGGTGGAACCCCGTCCCCTTAAAGGGAGCCTGCACCCCACAATCCCGATCTCCTATACATCTGAACTAGTACTGGGAACTGGAAGGCGAGTGTGGGGTTTACAGGGGCCCCTGGTAAGCGCCCCCTCCTTCACGTTCAGACAAATCTTCAGGCAACTTTCTAGATTCTAGACTTTAATGTATGAGGAAAATAGGTGAGTAAATACCCCGAGAGCGAGGTGTTTGTCCTGAGAAGGATAAAAGCCCTCGCAAGAAGGACTTTATACCTAAGGCTGGGGACAGCGACTCTGAGTGGCGACCTGGTTAAGAGACTGGCTGGTCCAAGTACACCGAAGAGTGGCTGCTGAGCAGTTACGGGGCTTGTAGAGTCCTGGAGAAAGAGTGCAGTTAGCTGCTGGAGGCTATGTTCTCTTTGGCAGGGTCCTAAAGTGAGTCTGGGGGCCCGTTTCTGGTTGTGGGGGGCTGAGCTGAAAGCAGCTCCTCCGCCTGCACCAGGCGCCCACCTATGCTCTGCTCCCCCGCCCCTTTCCCGCGGCTGCCTCCGCTTCCCTCGAAAAACCCGCCGCCCAGGAAACCGCTGGGGGCGCTCTGACCGCAGCCCCCTCCCTGCCGCCGCCCCCCAGAACCCCTACCGCGACCGCCCAACCCACCTAAAGGGGCGGTGGCTGCCAGGGGTACTCCCTCCCGCCGACTCCCCCCCACACCTGCGGGTAGCACTATTTATAACTGCGCGCCTATTCTGGGCCTCTCGGCTGGAGCCCGCTGCAGCGCTGTGCTAATCGCCGCTGGGATCTCTGTGCCCCACAGGGCTGGGGGTGGTAAATATAGCTTCAGGAAGCTCCGGGGAACGTTTCCCAAAACTCTTGCGTCCCAGAGCAGGCAAAACAGAACCCCTCTGCGCGCAGTCTGCTTCCTACTCGCCACCAGGTGGCGCAAAGCTCCTAAATCCCAGCCAGCTAGGGGTGTAGGGTAGCGGTCCTGAAGCCCGGGCCGTGTGGCTAAGGGGTTGTGGATGGTTCCGGATTTGAAACTTCAGGAGGATGGAAGACTCTGGAGTCCGAGAGCCACCTAGAAACGGGGTGGGGGTGGGGCTTCTGCATATGGAAGGAGAAATTCATATGTAAACGAAATACAAAGTCGTTCCTTGGGAGGGTGTTAGTGCTCTGGTGCCCCCATGAATGCCAGCCTCTCCCTGCCAGTGTCTCTCGTCTGCTGTGGAAATGTGGGACTGTGGCCCCATCAGCCCTCAAACTCATTTATTGTGATCCCTTTCTTACCTGTCCCCACCTCTGTCTCCATTCCAGCCAAGGATCCAAATGTGATGTAATCTACAGAAAAATTTTTCTCTTGCTGGGATACTTGAAGGTCATTTTAACTTGTTGGTCTGGTCTGTTCCATTTCAACCCCAACTATTACCCTAACTCTTGGGGCTGCTAGGGGCCACAAGGAGCCCAGGGGTAAGCTGCAACTCCCCTTTCTATTCCTGGCATGAGCTCCTGAAGCAATAGCTTGAGTGTTAAAGACCCAAGCAGCTCTTTTTAGGAGAGAACACTGGGAGAAGTTGCCATATTTCCTTTTCCTTTCTAGAAGAATGGGGATGTTATTGATCAGGAAAACTAGTCTGGATGGTTAAACAAAAGGTATTTAGCGCTGGGCGGTGGTGGTGCAACCTTTAGTCCCAGCACTCAGGAGGCAGAGGCAGGCAGATCTCTGAGTTCGAGGCCAGCCTGGTTTACAGAGAGAGTTCCAGGACAGGCTCTAAACAGAAACCCTGTCTTGAAAAACAAAAAACAAACAAACAAAAAGTTGATCCAAGGAGCCAAGGACACAGTGAGCTTCGACAGAAACAGGTTCCGTTTAGGAGGGCCACCTCCACACTTGCAGGGCTCTGCCAAGGCAATTAAACCATTTCTACCAGAAGAGAAGACAGATTAATGAGGAACCCTCGTTTTGGTTCTGTTTTCTTTTTATTTAGACAGGAGTCTTACTATATTGCCCATGTTGTTCTCTAACTCCAGAGTCAGCCTCCAGAACAGGTCGGGGAAACAGATGTGTGCCAGCCTGGCAAGCCGTAAAGCTGAGATCTCAAAGTGTGGGTTCACCGAGTTCTATAAAGAGCCTTGTCCTCTAACCTTAGGATAAATTACTTCACCTCTTTGGGCCTGCTTCTTCAAATTAATGTGGTATAATTACCTTCGTTATCTTGCCTACTTTCGCTGTGTACGTATGTGTGCACGTTTTGTCGTTGCTTGGTTCTGAGATAGGGTTTCACCAGCACACTCGAGCCTGCCTGTTTGTTGTTTTGGTGTACTACACTCGAGCCTGCCTGTTGTTTTGGTGTACTTTTGCTCCTGAACAAACACACACACAAGTCTGGAGGTCAGAGGACAGCTCTCAGGAGTTGGCTCTGTCCTTTCATCATGTGGGCCCAGGGGACTGAGCTGACCAGGCTTGACAGCAAGTACCCTTATTCCCTGAGCCATCTTGCCAGCCCCAAAGTATACTTAAAAAAAAAAAAATACTGGAGCCAGGCACTTGGGAAAGACAGGCAGATTTATATGACTTTGAGACCAATCTCATCTTCCAGGTTGGAAAAGCTACACATTGAGGTTTTTATTTTTTGTCATGTGGACAGTGGTGGCACACACCTTCAATTCCAGCACTCAGGAGACACACAGGTGGCTCTCTGTGTATTGAAGGCCAGCCTGGTCTACAGAGTAAGTTCCAGGACAGCTGGGGCTATCCAGAGAAACACTGTCTTGAAACAAAAACCAATCATTTTGGTCTTGAGACAGGGTAGGTCACTCTTTAGGCCAGGCTGGTTTTGAACTTACTACGTAGCCCGTGCTAGCCCCAAAATGGAGTAATCCTCTCCTTTTCACCCCCAGGCACTGGATTATAAACCTGAGCCACCACACCCAGCTCAAAGGAGACGTCTTTGAGAGTCTAGAAGGGGTTTCCAGACCGGGCGCCGTGTCTTTCCGCTGTAAGCTTCTCCAGTTGCTGCTCTCCTTGGGCCTTGGTCACTCTTCATTCTTTTTCTTCCACCAGCTCCCCACTACCTATCCTGCCACCGCGCACAGCCCTGGCCTCTGCTCTCTCTATCCACCACTTCCCTAGCCGTCATCCTCTCCTCTGGCAAAAGCCTTTGTGCTCAGACCTCAGACTCTGGGGTCCACTTCCAGGCACTGTCCCACTTAATTCAAGGACGATTTAGAGGGAAAAAAGGCAATGGGCCAGGGCTGAATTAGGGAAAAGAGGAGATGGCCAGGCAGAATGCAGACTCTGGAGGAAGGAGAGGCACTGGCACGGCCCGCTCCCCCTCTCCCCCTCGTTTCTACCAGCAGCTTCAGACCTCGCAATTCCTTCTGCAGTGCTGGGTGGGGTGGGGGGATGGGCGAGAGGGAGGGTTCAGAAGGAGCCAGGTGGCAGTGCTGTCCTGCAGTTTTGGTTATTTGGAAGGGTACTGAGCAGATATCATGGTTTATCCTTCTAATCCCAGGACTGGGGAGGCTGAGACAGGAGGATTGCTACAAATTTGAAGGCAGCTAGGACTCAAAAAATCAAAGAAAGAAAGAAAAGGGCACTGATCATCAAGAACAATCATGACTTGTAGTAAGTGCTCTAGGACCACCAGCCCATGGTGACACACGCCTTTGATCTCAGTACTTGGGGGAGGGGCAGAGACAGGCAGATCTCCATGAGTTCTAGGCCTCTGGCAGCAGAGGGGCAGCAACTTCTCTTACTGCTGCGCTCGCTCGCTCGCTCGCTCGCTCTGCCCCACAGCGACTAGTAAATGATCCTGTTTTCCTTTTGAAAAAGAAAAAGGGGGAAAGCATGCATCTGTAATCCCAGCCTTGTGGAAGTTTTAAGAAGAAAAAGGAAGTGCTAAATGTACTGTTAAGATGTCCTAGTACACAGCTCACACAGGAAAGGTAAGGTCCAGGACTAGAGAGATGGCTCGGCAGTTAAGAGCACTCTTCCAGAGGACCCGGGTTCAATTTCAGCAACCATATGGCAGCTCACAACTGTAACTACAGTTTCAGGGGATCTGACACCCTCACACAGACATGCATGTGGACAAAACAGCAACACACATAAAATAAAATTCAACAAATACAGTTTTAAAAAGGTAAGGTGCAGGGCTGGAGAGATGGCTCAGTGGTTAAGAGACCCGCCTGCCAGTCTAGAGGTCCTAAATTCAATTCCCAGCAACCACATGGTGGCTTACAACCATCTGCAATGACATCTGGTGCCCTCTTCTGGCCTGCAGGCATGAATGTAGGCAGAATACTGTATACACAATAAACAAATAAATCTTTTAAGAAAAAAAAGTAAGGTGCAGAGCACTGTGCATAGTAAGTCAACCAACTGTGAGTAAACACACCAGGTCAAAGCCAGCCATGGTGGATGACACTTGTAATTACAGCACTCAGGAGGCTGAGGCAGGGGATGGTAGTGGTGGGATTTTTTTACTCTTTTGGTGGGCCCGCCACCCACCTCCCAAATAAATCACACACACGGAGTTTTATTATTACTTAGAAATGCCTGACCTTAGCTTGACTTGTTTCTTGACAGCTTTTCTTAAATTAACCTTCTACCTTTGCCTCTGGGCTTTCTCCTTTTCTTACTTTCACTCTTATTCCTTGACACACATTCACTAACACACACACACCTTGACACACACACACACCCTGACACACTCACACACACCTACCTTGCTGGGGATTACAGAGCCTAGACAAGTTAGGTAAGCAGCATTCCAGTGCTAACTATATCTCAAATCCTTTTTTTTTTTTGGAGATAGATTTCCTATGTAGCCATGGGTAACTTGGAAGTATACAGCCAGGATGGTGATACTGGAGATACTTATGTCTCAGCTTCCTGAGCACCCAACCATATAGTCTGTCTTTCTTCCTTCCTTCCTTCCTTCCTTCCTCTCTCTCTCTCTTCCTTCCTTCCTTCCTTCCTATCTCTCTCTCTCTCTCTCTCTCTCTCTCTCTCTCTCTCTCTCTCTCCTCTTTTAGGGGGTGGTTTCAAGATAGGGTTTCTTTCTATAACAGTCCTGGCTGTCCCGGAACTCACTCTGTAGACCAGGCTAGCCTGGAACTCAGAGAAATCCACCTGCCTCTGCCTCCCAAGTTCTGGAATTAAAGGCAAGCACCTCCATGGCCCGATGAGTATTTCTTTACAAAGTATTTATTTATGCTGGGCGTGGTGGATCATGCCATTAATCCTAGTACTTGGAAGGCAGAGGCAAGTGGATCTCTGTAAGTTCCAAGCCAGCCTGGTCTACAGAGTGAGTTCCAGGACAGCCAGGACTGTTACACAGAGAAACCCATTTCACAAAACAAACAAACAAAAGTGTTTATTTATGTATTTACTTGTAGCCCTGGCTGGCCTAGAACTTGCTGTGTAGATCAGGTTAGTCTCAAAATCTGCCTGCCGCTGCCTCCCAAGTGCTGGAATTAAAGGCGTGCGCCACCACAACTAGTTCAGTGTATCTGTATGACAACAAAAATCAGGGTTTGGGATAGCATAAGTGCACAGCCCTGGGTTCAGTCCCCAACCCCCAAACTCAAACAACCAACCAGACAACCAACAATAAACAAACCCCAAAAGGCCCAGAGAAAAAGGAGTTGACTAAGAAAAAGACTAAAGAAGAGCTAGCCTCAGGGAGGGAGACAGGAACTAAATACTACCTCCACTACCTCCAGGTTGGTGTTGCAGTTAAGAGGTGGGCAGTGACAGGCCAGGGTGCTCAGAGAGAAAGGGGGCTTAGGTGAGGCGGTGATCCATGTGAACAAATTAATAAACACGCACACAAACTGTTGCTGTTGCTAAGAGAGGGTTGGTGTACTCACTCAGACTCCTGAGAGAGGTGTGCTGTGATAGGCCTGAGGGACTGGTGTGAACACACAGATGTTTTCTCTCATAGCTGTGTGAACGGGGACACCTTCCACAAGCTGGGTCCCATGTTCCTTAGAGACAGGAACTTCCTAGGGCACATCTCCTATTTGGAAAAAGGCTGAGTCTCTTGGATCCCCATCCTAGTACCCTGGGACTCACAGAATAAAGCTCATTCTATTCTGCTATCACAGAGGCCGGGAGGAACCTGGTGTTTCTGTTCTGCTCTTCTACTCTGGCACCAGAGTCAGCAAACCTGTTTTGTTTTGTCTCAATTCTCCGGAGATCCATCCTTCTTCCTTGGTCCGCACTCCGGCTCTAAAGCCCTTTCCGGGCACACATGTCCTCATTCCCCTTTAGACATTTAGGATTTTTGGCCTCAAGGGCCCATTTATTTTATGTGTGGTTCAGGATTCCCAGAGATCTTAGGGGCAGTTCCTGGTTCTTCAAGTACATGGTAAGAGCAGTCACCTGAGTTGGTGGGCTCATTCTACCCACTTTGGAGGCTGCAGTCTCATTGGCGTCTTAGCCAGCAAGCCAAGCTCGTGCCTACCAGACATACAGCAGAGACGGGAGCTGGGAATGGGTGCCCCAGGCAGGTCAGACAGATGGACAACTCAAAGCAGGGTTCGTATTTCACTCTTCCCGTGTTGGTGGCCCACCTTGGTGAGGCCAGCTGGCTCCAGGAGTCCTAAAGAAAATATGGGACAGCTGGGCTGCAGGTTCCACCACTGAAGCTGCAGCCACACCCCCTGACGTCTGCCCTCCCCACCCACCTGAGTGATGCAGGTCTTGGTGTCAGGGGTGACAGGAGGTGCTCCCCACCACCGCTAATCCAGTAATTCCTTGACACACCAGCAACAGAGGAGGATGTAGGCTATTTCCTTTAGAGTTCGCTGTAAGCCCTCCCACCCTGTGCCCATCTTAATGACAGGCACCTGGAGACCGGTGCCTCGAAGGACATTTCCCAGGGAGGAGGGCAGGGCCTGGGTTAGGGGTTGCATTGGCGGCTTCATGTGAACAGCAGCCCAGTGGAAGGGTGTGGTGCTGCCTTTGGGGCCTTTTATCCACTGTCCCCACCCCCTCAGGCCTCATGACTAAGGACAAAGGCTCTGGGGTCTAGCAAAAGATGGTTCTGGGCCTTGGAACAGGCTGAGTCAGCCCTACAGACAGGGATGGTGGCTGTTAGAAGGGAGGGCTTGGCTATTCCATCTCCCATCCTCCACAGCCAGGAGAGCTTAATTCCCTTCTGCGCAGGCAGTCCCCTGCCTGGTTTCCTACTCCCAATGGTTGGTATCCTCGGTCTGGCTGCCGGTTCCCACTTGGTGGCTCTGGCTAAGGCTGGCACTAAGAATCATCCCTATTAGCTCCTTTCTGGTATGTTCTAGCCCACTCTGGGCCCGAGTGAGCACTGCCAGTTCAGAGCTGGCAACCTTGGTTCACTTATGCTTCCCTTGACCTTGAAGCAGGAAGGCAGCAGAGCAACAGGCACCAACAATGGTCAGGGAGGTACGATTTATTGCCATGACAGGTTATACCCCGGGCCAGCCCCTTCCCTGCGTCTTGTCCCAGTTTGTGTAAGATCACATGCGGGAATTCCTTTCCTCATCTTCGTTCTCTAGTAGGTACGCTGGGCGGTAGATGGGATGCCCTCCTGGGCTCAGGCACTTCAGGGCTGGGTTCTGCACTGTGTTCTCCCGACTCCCCAGTGATGTGTACCTGGAGTGTTGAAACAGGAGCATGCCGATGACAAGATGGGTTCTCCTTATCCCAGCATCCTCCCCGCACCCCACCCAACAACCTTACCCTCGGTCATACAGGACACAGTATGGGACAAACAGCTGGCGCAGAAAATCCCAGATGTCTCTGTAGGTCCAGTCCTATAAATGACAGACAGTAGAGATGGAGAAAGCCCTTACTCCTGCCAGTTTCCACCCCCCAGCCACTCTGCCCCTGTGGTGGAAGCCTCGCCCTATGGTGGGCATCTGAAATGTGGCTCGTGTGACTTAAGAAGTGAGCATTTGGGCCGGAGAGATGGCTCAGGAGTTAAGAGCACTGACTGTTCTTCCAGAGGACCCAGGGTCAATTCCCAGCACCCACAATTTGGCTCACAACTGTCTGTGGCTCTAGCTCCAGGGACTGACATCCTCTTCTAGACTCCAGCACCTGGAGTGCACACAGCACTCAGACATTCACGCAGGCAAAGCACCACACACAGAAAATATTTGTAAGTGGGTTTTCTCTCCTTCTGGTAGGGTATGTAGCTCATGCAGTTCCCAAGACGGCCATCCTCCTGCCGTATCTTCCCATGTGCTGGGAGCTGAGGTGTGCACCACTAGGCACGTCTTACAGATCTTGGCTGGCCTTGCTCTCAATATACTGCTGGGAATGCCCTTGGACTTCCATTCCTCACCCACTCCCAATTCCCCAGTGACCTAACCTAGAGGGTAAGATAGAAGGCAAGTGGGTGACGGGCAGGCTTGGGCAGGTGTGTGCACCCAGAGTACACTCCACCCACTGCGCTCCAGCCTGGTTTATGTGGTCTGGTGACTGAATGCAGAGCTCTGTACAAACTAGGCAGGTGCTCTACCAAATGAGCCCACCCAGCCCTAAGAACTTTTTAAATTTTATCTAAGTTAAAAAAAAATGACATTACGAATCACATGCCATAAATTTCACCTTTTGAAAATAAATAGCCCAAGGCTTTTGTTTGCTTTTCTTTTCTTTTTTCTTTCTTTTTTTCCAGGTTTTTCGAGACAGGGTTTTTCTCTCTGTAGCTTTGGAGCCTGTCCTGGAACTAGCTCTTGAAGACCAGGCTGGACTCAAACTCACAGACACCCGCCAGCCTCTGCCTCCCGAGTGCTGGGATTAAAGGTGTGCGTCACCCCGCACAGCTGGCTTTTGTTTTCTTTAGACAGGGTTTTACCCAGGCTGGCCTGAAGTCACAGAACCCTCTTCCTCACCCTCTCAGTAGTCTTAATCATTGCTATCGTTTACCTTTCTGTTTTTGAAATAGGGTCTCATATGTTCTCAAAATCACAATGTAGCTAAGACTTACCTTGAACCTTAAAAAACTGTATTATTTGTGGTGTGTGCACACGTGTGCAGGGAATGTATGGGGTCAAAGGTCAAACTATGGGAGCCAGTGTTCTTCTCTTCTACCACCTGGGTCCTGGAGATCAATGAGGTCATCACATTTGGCAGCCAGTATTGGCTGAGCCATCTTGCCAACTCTGGCCCTGAACTTCTGATTCTCCTGAAGGCTGGAATCATAAGCCTTCAATCCCCCAGACAGGATTTTCAGGTGTGCTGAGCAAGCACTATAACAAACAATCCATATCCTCAGCCCCATGATCTATATTTCATTTCAATTCCACTTCAAGTATGAGCACATGACTATCATATTGGCTAGCACAGGCCCAGGGCACTGCTTTGACCACAGTGAAAAGCACAATGCAAGTTACTGAATTAATGCTCAATACTGGTCAAAAGGATGAACAAATAGCACGGCCTCCCTTGGGAGATAGAGCCCTGGTCTCTAGCCTCTTCCCAGCGGGCAAGGGAAAGGTACAGGATCCCAAGGCAGAAAATCCGGTCGCATTACCAGCAGCGGGTTGATGCGCATGAATGAAGGCCAGCCAGGGTCGGTGGGACTGAAATGGCTGAGGCTACAGGAGTAGGGGTCAGTCCGTCGGGTTCCCATCAGGACAGCCTCCAGTTGGGGGTGTTTTTCCTGAAGCTCAGCCAGGGCCTGCTTCATGTTACCCTCAGCTTCGAACACCTGAAGGTTATACCTTAAGAAGGAAGAGAACAGAGATGAGGATCAGGGTAGGTTCTGCCAAGGCCCCCATGGAGTCCAAAACTTCAAGTCCCAATACCTCTTGATGGTGTCTTGTAGAAACTGTTCCAACTCAGGGAAAGTCGAGATGCTACGGATGTACAGGATCTGGAGGGGCTTTGGAACATCAGGAAATCTCCTGGGGAGAGTAAGGATCCACAGAGTTGCTAGGGAGGACAGAAAAGCTGCTCTCCAGAGAGCTCTCAGGATTCTCTTTGGCTCCTAGGATCACGAACAGCCACGCTCCCCACCCCCCTTTAAGTTTTTTTTTAGATGGGATTTCTCTGTGTAGCCCTGGCTGTCCAGGAACTCACTCTGTAGACCAGGCTAGCCTTGAACTTAGAGAGATCTGCCCCCTCTCCTGAGCACTGGCGTTAAAGACCCACTTCCTCCAGTAGCCCACTCTGCTCTCTCATCCTTCCGTTTTGAGAAAGGTCTTGCTGTGTAGACCAGGCTATGCTGTAATTCGCTATGGAGCAGCCTTACACTTGCACTCCTGGTTTAGCATCCTGAGGAGGGGTTATAGGAATGTGCCACGGTGCCTGTCTGTCTCGTTCTGCGCTCAAACTAAGCATCATTTCTGTTATTCTACGATAAAGACAACAATAAAAAACATCTGGGTCTCACTGATTGGCCGGGAACTCGCTATAGACCAGGTTAGCCTCAAATCATAGCAATGCATCTCCACTGCCTCTGTTGAGATTAAACCACACCCAGCTGATTTTTTTTTTTAAAATAGGACTTTAAACAACTCAGGTTTAAGCCCAGAGAATCTAGATAACAAACAGGACCTTAAGAGAGACATATATGGATCTACATAGGAAGGAGAAAAAGACAAGATCTCCTGGGTAAATTGGGAGCGTGGGGGTCATGGGAGGAAGTAGAAGGAGGGAGGAGAGGGGAGTAAAATGTACAGCCCAATAAAACAAAAACAAAAAACTCGTGGGCTTAAGGGTTAGTCCAGCAATTAAAAGCACTTGTTGCTCTCGTGAAGGACCCAAGTTCCATTCCCAGGACCCATACAGTGACCCACAACCCCTCTGTAACTCCATGCCCTGATGAGCCAATGCTCTTGTGACCAAGGCTTGTATGAGGTGCATACACAACACTCCCTAGGCTAGCCCCCTCACCCCTCCCGTTCCTGAGCTCCAATGAGATATCGTGACATCCCCTCCCCTGCCTGCTAGGACTGCTACCTTGCTAGGCCATGATTTCCGGTAAATCTCACCTACACTGTGACTTCCTTGTGGTAGGAGATGGGCACTGCTCGACCACTCAGCTGCCTTTCCTCGCAAGCCCCACCTCCTCACCCTTTCTCCCTTCCCAAGGGAGAGCCGCAGAGGTTTTGTGTAGGCATTTCTGGGGCCCTGGCCCCCGGGGCGGGCTTACTTCTGCACAGCTGCATGGAAGAGGTGGAGGAGGGCGGTGCAGTCCTTGCCTCCGTTGAAGCCCACACAGAGCTTGGAGAGGTCGTACTGATCGAGGGCAGTCTCAATGGTCTGTAGGGCGCTAGCTACTTTTCTCCCCAGACACGATCCTGCCATGGAGACAGGGAAGAGAACGTCAACTAGGCGAACATGGCTGTCAAAGAAGTCATGTTACCCTTGTTAAAAAGTTGTACTATTAGCCGGGTGGTGGTGGCGCACGCCTTTAATCCCAGCACTTGGGAGGCAGAGGCAGGCGGAGCTCTGTGAGTTCGAGACCAGCCTGGTCTACAAGAGCTAGTTCCAGGACAGGCTCCAAAACCACAGAGAAACCCTGTCTCGAAAAACCAAAAAAAAAAGTTGTACTATTTTTCTGGTGCCTGGGATCAAACTCTTCACGCTGTCCTGCACTGTTTGCCTCTCTGCCAGCTACTCAGCCCCACCTCACACGACCTTGGTTTCAGCATTTACTCTGGGGCAGACTGAGGGGTGGGAGTGTGGGCTGCTCAGGTTTGCTTCCACCTTCCCATCTCCTTTCACATTGTTCCTGCCCCCTCCAGATCCAACCACACTCTCATCTCTCGGGTTTGGTCATGTTTTTCTGACCCCAAATCAAAGCTGCTATCTCTGGGGTGGAATCTGCTTCAGACTTACACATCCCATTTTGTTGAACTCCTCAAGGAAGAGCACACCTGTTCTGACACCCAGCACAGTGCTGGGGCAGGGAGCTGGATCTATGGGGAGCCCTCCGAAGCATTTCTAGATCTGGAGGAGAACCCAGACTCTGGGCCACGAAGCCTTCCCCAAAGAGACTCCTACCTGACTGAGCGAGTTTGTATACGGCCTCGCCAGCCTGCTCAACAGCATTGGGCAGGTAGGGGACCAATGATCCCTGAGGCAGATGTGCAGTGAGATAGGCCAGACATTCCTCCAAGGGTTCTTTCTCTTCAGAGTCTAGAATCAGCTTCACCTGATAGTAGTTGCTGCCCCAATCAGGGTAGGAGCCCAGGCTAAGCTTAAGCCCAAAGTGGGCCTGGGCCTCAGTGAGGATGGGGGCGATGGAGCCCTCGGAAGCAGCCACATACAACTCCTTCACGTGGAACTGCACAGCTGTGTTTTGGAACAGTCCTTTCAGTCCCTCCAACGCTCGCCGCAGCAGCTCCGGAATTCCTGGGAAGAGGTAGACATTTCGGACAGAGACCAGCAGGAACCTGAAGGGCTGGCCAGTGCGAGGATCTGTGCCATAATGCAGGCGGGCAGAGGAGGGCACCATCGACAGCTTCTCCCAACCCTCCCCTCCTAGGATTTTGATGGCTGCTTGAAGTTCAGGGTGTGGTCTGAGCTCCTCCCCAAAGGCCTGTGCCACCGCCTCAAATGTTACATCGTCATGAGTGGGGCCGATGCCCCCCGCGGTGAGGACGTGAGTGAAGCGGCTGGAGAATGAGGTGACCTCGGCTGCAATGGTGGCTACCTCATCAGGTACAACAGAGACTCGGCAAACCTGGA